ACTTGTTCTCTGCTGATTGTTTATTTTCCCACATTGTCCCTTCTTGTGATGTTTGAAACTTTTCTAAGGCATCTCATTTTTCATGCGTTGGTTTTGCTTTGGTGGCTCTTGATTATTGTCCATGTTTGGGTTTGGAAGCACAATGTTGGTATATTATGTATATACATATAATAATATTTTTTTTTATAGTAGAGGGCGCTCGCAACTGCATAAGGTCATATGAGCGCCTAGGGGTGGGTGTCAACAGAGAAGTCTTTACAGGGAATCAGACTTAGACTGCTTACCTCTCTAGTTTCAACAGCACAAGGTCTGCTTCGACTATCAAGGCACCCCAAAATAGCAGGTCACAAGAGAGTGACAAACATACAAAAGAAGTTTAGGGAAATGACAATAGTAAAGATCAGGAAAGAAAACGCAGCAGTTCCCTGTTGTAGATCAGGCACTGTTATGAGCATGACATGAGTCAGCCCATTTACAATTCTACTATGCTTGAAAGAGAAATGTCCCCCCTTTGGGAATGGCCTAAAGACACTCCAGTCAGTGGCACTGCCCCGGGGGGTAATGTTGGTATGAAGAAGATGTTAATAAATTATTGGCGCCTTTTTTCCCTTGTGGTGTTGGGGTGTGAAAGTGGTGGTGCCAGTTGGCAAGTCAAAATGTTGGCCATGAACACGCTTCCTGGGTAATTGAACTGTTCTACTTGCTTGATGACTAGACCTCTATGGTGTTTAGTGGACCTTCTGTTTTGTTGATTTTCATTGCCTCGATTTTGCTTGTGCTAATTTTCATAATTGAAAAAAATATTTTCAGCTTTTGTTCATTTTGAATTGAAACGGGCAATATTGGATTCACATAGGCGGTCTAGACCTACATTTTCCTATGTTCTATTGATTTTCCACAAGGTTTTTGATAAGTTACAGCTTATCTATTTTCGTCAGACCGGAGTTAAAACGAGGAAAACAAAACAAAACAAAACAAAATCAACAGCAAAAAAACCCCAACCCATCAACAACCAACCAGATTGCTTGGTTTAATCTTATTAGATCTCTGCATGCAGGACCAACAGAATTCAAAAGTCCATTAATGAAGATCACTGCAAATTAAAGGTCTGCGTTTTCTTTGATGTTAGCCCCTCAAAAAATAATAGGGGATTTACAGCATACCCCTATATCATAAATAATGTTGAGATCAAAACCTCATTTTGACATACATTTATGAAACTTGGTCAAACAGACGTGTGAGATAGGTGAGTACTTTTAGAGGCTCAGGTGGAGTCGTCTAGATGGTCTTGAGAGGAAATCTACAAGCTTACACTGAAATATGGAGGCAGGATGGTATCGCTCTCTCAAAATGAGAAATTTGTTGGAAAGGTTAACGTGAACGATCATAATATTATTGTAGTGATCCTGTGTACGCACCTGAAGGGCAGTGTTTAATATAGGTCCTAAATAAAGAAACTTCTTTTTACTGGATCAAGATTTTTTTGAAAAAGGATTTTTGTTTGGTCGCTGGCTTACAAAAGTCCCACTTCAAGTTTCATGCGCATTGGCAAATTAATAAATCAGCTAGATTTTTTTTACGTGGACAGACGATCGTGATTAGGATTTAATTAAGTGTGTACAATAATTTAAACTGTCACATACACAAATGAGAAAACCTGGACAGGTTAATTCGATATTGTCTGTCTGAGCTAAATCAGTCTATGTGGGATATTAGGCCTAGGCTTATATCCTACCACAAAACGGAGATTTATTATCTTTCTCAATAGAGGAACAGGCAAAATACACATTGTCAGCCTTAATATTTCAGTGTAAGCTTGTAGACTTCCTCGCGCAACAAACTGCACAATGCAGAGTGACCGACGTTGGATAGGACGCTGGGGTCAGGTATGAATCATTTTCCTATCCATGTAGTCAGCAGATCGTGAGTTCACCTTTATTGGAAATGTAGTATGTCAGAACAGCTCAGAAAGAAGGGAAAAACAGCCCAAGATAGGTGCATTTACAGGGATTTTCTTGTATCTGGATTTACAAGTAATGTGATTGCGTGTGACTGCAGCTAATGTGGTTATTGTTATGGCTGTTGTTAACGTTCTACTTTCTTAATGATAAAAAGCAACATAACTTTGTTTTATTCCTTTTAAACTGCAAACCACCCCCCCCCCTTTCAGTGGCGGTGGGTGGACCAAATTTTGGTGGGGCTTAGGTTGCTTCCAGCTCTTTACCACCAAATAGCAAGCAATAAGATAAGAACTAAACAGTGATGATTTTTCTATACCCACGATGAGCCACGGCAGTTTGAGAACCATTCAAACGAGACGAGTTGCCTTTATTTTCCATCTCTTTGTTCTTAGCTAAATTCTTGTTGATGGTGGGGACGAAGCCGATTCACCTCCAGATTTCCTCTAATTAGTTTTCGTGTGATGAAAAAGTTTTAAAAGTAGTTCGACCTGATTTATAACTGATAAATCTCAGCGGCACAAACACGAACATGCACACACATCACTTCAAACATAATACTTCTATGAGCTGGATTAGGCCGTGTAGTCGAGAAAGTTGAAAGCACCCAACAAAGAACAAATTGGTGCATAGCTAGACAGTCAGAGAACAAGAACAGGTATCTGTGTCAGTGGTAGAAAGTGTGTCGTAAACTTTCACCCCATTGTCAGGGCTAGGAGAGTGTGAGCCCTCGGTACTCGGTACAGTGTTATTTTTTCCGTCTTCTACCTTTTTAAAAGAAGAGTTTCATTAAAGACGGGCTGTGGGAAAAGGGCTCTTATTTGCTGAGCTCTAAAGACATTTTGATTGGCTGCTGGGTTACTATAGTTGTAAGCGGTGACAACAGTGATTGGATAAGCGAGCAAGCCGCCAAGTTGATCACTCTGTGTTCATTGCGAGCGGTCATAACGGTTTCAACTGCTTATTTCATTATGGAGAAACTTTCATTTACTTTGGGAAAGAGTTGATGGAGGTGGGAGGGGAGGGGGGTAGGGGCTCAAGCCCGTGAGCCCTTCACTACACACCGCCACTGCCCCCCTTCCTGAGTTAGGAAGTATATCGTCTGAAGCCGAATCTGGGCTTCGAACTCAAGGCCGCGCTGTTCGGAACAAGCGTTTGACAACTGCACCACAGTCAAACGCCAAAGCGAGCAGTGAGGAGTCCGCCACCGTGTCACCCACAATACCGCCGAGCTTTTTCCAATGGCATTATAATAGCACCGATTTAGATTTGTAATTTCAAGGGGCTGGGGGTCGGGTTTGTCTTTAAAAAAAAATATACTAAACATCTAGGTTGAAATTCAGCGCCCTGCTAGACACAGGGTAGGACACCCCGTTGTCTGATCACATGGTGCCTTAATACGACACCAGACGTCGAGGACATGTTTAGAGAAGTACATGTGCGAGTATTATTGTGACGTCTCTTGAATTCGAAAGCTTTGATATAACCAGGGGCGAAGCGTCTATATAATCAAATAATCACTGCTTCCCTTTCTAATTTTGAAACATTGTCGCTGTCAAATTCATCCTTAAACGTAAACCTCATAAATTAAATTCAAAAGACGTTCGTAATCAACAAATAAAGTGAGGCTGGAATAGAGTTGAAGGGAACATGTGCATGGCAGTCAAAGCTGTTTCATTGTCACATATACCCTGTTCACCCCTTTGGGGCCACAGTTAAAATCAAACACCAGCCCTGATTAAGTAAGCTAACTAACACTGGTCGAGTCTACCTCACAAATGTGAGGGGAACTAACTCTTAATAATCTCTTGACTGCTGCTTGTACTTGTTTTTTTCCCTCGACTTTTTACCGTCCTATAATCAGATCGTGACCTCGATTTTGACACCAGCTCCTGGCCGCGAAAGGCTAACAAAAACAGCCAAATGTGAAATTTAAAAAATAATAATTGTCATGTTCTACCAAAGAGTTAGACTCACTGGTAGATCTATAACATATAGATCTAGTACTGACATCTCTGCTTCTTTGCTTTATGTTTATGTATTCACATCTAAAGTTAAGTTTAATTTTAGTGGGAACTGATATTTAATAAGATACTTTCCCGATTATTTTGGCGGTTGAACATACAATATGAATTCCGGATTTGTTTTCATTCACAACTCAGAGTCGCCGCCTCGAGTAAGATTCTTGTGTGATATCTACAGGCCATATAGATCTATATCTGGTCCCATTTCACTTTGATTACCCTGTCAAACAAGTCAGCCTTCGCCCCTGGATATAACAGTTGTTGAAGTTCAACGTTCAGCTTGACACAAGGCTTGAGGGTTACAAGCAAACCCCAGGGCTGAGTAGTTTATATTCAATTTGGATTCCAACCTCGAACTTTAGTACAGTGTTTTAGACTATGTTCCCGCAATAGTACAGGACTGCGGACTGCAGACATCAATTCTAACCTCAACGTCCGAAGTGTTTGAGTAAATTAATTATTATTATACTTCCTGAGAACAAGAAAGAGGAATGATTAGGGTAAAAATCAAGACTCAATAACACGATACACGGTTGTACTTTGACATGTTTGTTTTTATTAGAAAAACTCCGCCCCGCCCCCCCCCCACCCACTTCTCTCTCTCTCTCTCTCTCTCTCTCTCTCTCTCTCTCTCTCTCTCTCTCTCTCTCTCTCTCTCTCTCTCACACACACACACACACACACACACACACACACACACACACACACACACACACACACACACACACATACCCCCAAATTCACACTGTCTCAAAACCATGCTTAATGGCATGACATAATTCAAATACAGGTTTTGTTTACATTTAGAGCTTGACTAGTTCTTTACAGAGACAAAATGCGTGAGTTTTTATAAGGAGATCGGCACCTCTGATACCCAACAACTATTAAAATAATACTCGATAGCTAATGATGAACGAATTGACGCAGCAGCAATAAAAACAGCAACAGCAATACTGAATTTTCTCTCCCATGAACACGAGGTAGATTCCACAATTTGACAACAGAGCAGAAAGGGTCAGTTACACAAAAACTCGTTTATAAGAAACACATCACCAAGGGCAAACAAGATGCTCATTAATTACAACAAAGAAGAAACAAGAAATAAAACTTTATACAATATATACAATAAGCCTGTAACTGTAAAGAATCCTGAGATTGACTCCAAAATATTGCCACCAAGGTAAAAACGTGCAGGTGTACTTCTAATAAAACTGGACAGGTGTGACTGATAATATTGCAAAGTAAATGGGCAGAAGAAAAAACCCCCCAGGAAGGCTACTATGATGCTTTAGACTAGATTAGCGTCTTTAGCCATGCTGTAGAAAGCTGACGTTTGGTCTGCCAAAAGTTTTTGTGGCGCATCAAACTCTTTGATCTTGCCCTGATCCAGCACCATGATGCGGTCATAGTCCATGACCGTGTTGAGTCTGTGGGCAATGGTCAGCACAGTGCACGAGCGGAACTCGGACCTGATGGTTTTCTGGATGAGCTCATCCGTCTCCATGTCCACCCCAGCTGTGGCTTCGTCCAACACCAGGACTGGACTCTGCCTCAACAACGTACGGGCCAGACACACTAACTGGCGCTGACCCATGCTGAGATTCTTTCCGCCCTCCCCGCACTCATGGTCCAGCTGATCTGGCAAGCCTTCTACAAATGTCTTCAGGTGGGAATGCTTCAAAGCTTCCCACAGCTCCTCAGATGTCTTCTCTCCGAACGGGTCGAGATTCATTCGGAGAGAGCCTCCAAAAATCACTGGGTCTTGTGGGAGAATGGAGAGTTTGCTTCTCAGGTCGTGCAGCCCGACAGGGGCAATGTGTTTGCCGTCCAGAGTTATATTTCCTGCAGCTGCTTCCACAAGGCGGAAGACAGAGACTGTGAGCGAGGACTTCCCGGCACCCGTGCGTCCCACGATACCGACTTTCTCCCCACTTTTGATGTGACACGTCACACCTTTCAGCACCAAATCCAGACCCTCCCTGTACCTAGTTTGGTAGTTGTCCAAAACAAGATCTCCGCTCTCTGGCCACTGGGTGGAGAGAGAAAGTTCAGCTTTGTTCTCCTCCTCTGTCTCCCACGACGCTTCCGTTGGTTTGTTGGAGTAATCGACTACGCGCTCTAAAGAGATGAGTTCTGTCTCCGTGTGGCAGGAATGATGCATGACCCAGCCAAGGCAGTGCATGAAATTGGTGGCATACATCAACACCACGCCGGCCCTGCCAGGGCTAATGCTGGTATCCCATAACAACAGCAGACCAGAAATGAGGGTGACTGCAGAACACAGAACGGTCATGCGCATGCGGAACCAGGCATGGAACCAGTGCTCTGACATTTCAAACTTCATCAAGTTCTCTAGCTTGTCCTCCATCTTGCTGATAAACCGCTCCCCCACGCCGTACGCCCTAACGGAGTCAGTTCCATTGAGGGTTTCGTTTAGGTGAACAAACACAGGAGATCGTGACTTCTGTCTGTATCTGCGAAGTTGGCGCAAGTTGGCGATGAAGACACGCTGCATGGCGAGATACACAACCGTTACTGGGACCATGTAGGGGATAATACTAGGGGTTGAGTATAGAACCATACAAAAGCACACTGATAGCCAGCCCACAGAGGCTATGTAGCCGCGCAGACAGCCTCCTAAACCATCCACAGAGCCGATGTCCTTGGAGAACCGGTTGATGATCCTCCCGGTGGGTGTGAGGTCGAAGAATGACATGGGAGATCGTAGAATGTTGAGAAGTAGCTTGTTGTGGTGATGTTGGGCAGCCTCACAACCTCGGCATAGCACCAAGCTGATGAACCCAAAGGAAAGAAGGACCTCAGCAACACCGTACATGGTAAACGAAGAAAGGTAATTCCAAGTTCTGTCTGTGTATTCTTGAGTTTCCGCGAGGAGTCGGTTTGAAAGGAGATCATCATCAGACCACTTCGCCATCAGATGATCTTTGCTTTCATTAAAGTACATGTGTAGTCCGAACATGACCATACACATTATGCAGTATTTAAACCCAAATGCTTTCAAATAGTCCATGTACACCTTCATTCCTAACGTGCCAACTTGTGTTTCTTCTTCATCGTCCTCGACAGTCTCTTCTTCTGTGTCCTTAACCTCGTTCTCCATTTTATTACTGCACGATTCAACTTCCTCGGTCTTGAGAATTCCCTCAGTTTTGTCAGAGGGTTTGTCGTCTTGATTAAACACTGTTTCCCCTTCATCAGATGTTGATCTGTTGCTCTCACACTCATTCTTCCCTGTCAAGGTAACTTGTTGCACAAACTGTGAGAAAACGCCATTTTGTTCCAGCAACTGTTTGTAGGTTCCCGACTCATAGATCTGTCCATCTTTCATAACGAGAATGGAGTCAACATAGGGCAACCAGTGCACGCCATGGGTTACCAGCACACGAGTCTTGCCTTTCAGCATGCCTCTAGGCCCGATCACTTGATCAAAGATATGTTTTCCGACGTGAGCGTCCACCGCGCTCAGTGGGTCATCCAGGAGGTAGATTCCCGCGTCGGCGTACACAGCCCGGGCTAGGGACACACGCTGCTTCTGTCCTCCGGACAAATTGATGCCTTTTTCTCCTATTAAGGTTTTATCGCCCGAAGACATCAGTTTGAAGTCATCTCTCAAAGCACAGGCGTCCACGACTTTGTTATACTTTTCAGTATCATACCCGGATCCAAATACAACGTTCTCTTTCAAAGATGTGTTCAGAATCCAAGCCTCTTGGGGAACGTAGGCGGTTGAGTCAGTCACAGTAACGTCTCCCTCCACTTTTTCCATTTCTCCAAGCATAGCTGAAAGAAGTGAAGATTTTCCTGATCCTACCATTCCTACGATGGCGACAAGCTGGCCTGTTGGAATGTTCACGTTTATGTTCTTGATGCAGTTCTTTGAGCTAGATCTGTCCCAGGTGAATACACCATCTTTGATCGTAATGGACTCTTCACAGACACTGGTTTTCTTGACAATATCTTCTGGAATGTCTTCAAGATTCAGAAACTTGTTCAGTTTTGTTAGAGCATCAGATGCCTGAACAAACTCTGGTATAATGATGGCCATGATGCTGAAAGGTTTGTTTAAAATTGCAAACAAAGACGTGGTCACAAAAGCTGTGGAAGGGTCGAGGTAGCCTCCAAGGCAGACAAAGGTCATGAAGCCACCAACACGCACCATGAAGGGGATGGTACAGAACATAAAGTCAATACCAGCATGGATTAAGCACATCTTCTTATGCAAGCTCACTTCTTGATCCCTGGAGCTCATCACTTTCTTAAGAAACGACTTTTCCCACGCGTACAGTTTCAGTACTTTTATGCCGTTGAGAACTTCATTCATGATTTTGATCCTTTTGTCTTTGGTGTCACTCTTTTCCTTTTCAAATTTCTTAAGCTTTTTGCCTACCCAAGCGTTGAGGGGAATAAGTGACAACATGATGGCTAAACCGACGAAAGCTCCCATTCCCAACTGTTGATAGAGCATGTACAGAGCCACACTCACTTGAACAGGGGTGGCCAAAATGAGAAAGACGATGTTACTGGCGTTCACCAACTTTTCACAGTCGTCTGCGACCAGGGTAACGATCTCGCCGGTGGTAATGTCTCGCTTGCCCTCGTTTCTGGCACTTAACGCTTTCTTGTACACCGCCATTTTGAGAGAACTCTTGATGTTCTTAGACAGTCTGTCCACTGACGTCCACACTCGACTGTGTCCTGTGCTGGAGATAAGCGATGAGGCAAACAAACCCATCACAATGGCGTAGCCTTTCCAGGCTGGTTCCGTGTCTCTGTGCTGAAAGTGTTTCAGCAAACAGCCCATCAACAACGGCTCCACAAACATGGTAAGTTCAAAGAACAGTTTGATGGATTGATAAGTCAAATATTCAAAACCAAATCGGTTTAGCAGAACCTTTAGAAGATTCACTTTTGGGGATTGTACTTCTTTCTGACACTTTCCTTCCCGAAATGCATCAGTCTGCTCGATCTCTGTACCTTGACGTGATTGAAGAACAGCCACCTCTTTGTTCCAAGTCTTTTCAAAAGCCGGGGATAGGGTCTGGCACCTGTCATGTGCTGCCATACGAGGCACGTCTTCTTCTTTTAGACCGTTTCTGTAACCGCGCCAGATTATGCCAGTGATCCAGTTCAGAGTGAGTTTTCCGAGGAGAGAAGTCAGTTCTTCTGGGTGGGCATCCGGTGCTGGAACTCTTGAGTCGGGCAGAGAAGAGATTACAAACTGGATCAGAGCTCCAATAACGCAGCAAGCTGACAGCACAAAGGTGAAGGGGTCACGGAGATATAGTTCGGAGCTGACATCTTGGAAGAAGGACATCGAGTCAGAAACCAGCATTAGAGTCCAGAACACGAAGAGAGGAAACAAGTAGTGGGTGCCTCTTTGTCTCTCATTTGACGTTAGCTTTGTGGTCAGCATCAGAGAGGCCAGCCTCGCCCAGTAGCAGCAGTAGTGACCAGTAAGGCTGTTTAGCATGATCTTGACATTATTCACTCTAGTAAGTTGCACAGCGGAGACGGTGGCCATAAAAAGAGTGTTGGACATCTTCATTTTTCCTAGTTTTCCGATGTGACTGGTAGTCTTCCCAGGTGACAGGAAGCAAATGAGATACAGAGGAGCGACTGCCCAGAGGAAAAAATGGGGTATCCAGGGGACGAGTGGAACCAGATCAGCAAAGATAAAAACGTTTTCTTCAACCTCAACGAATGTCGTTGACTCACAAAAGGAACTGTTCTTTCCAGGGTGCTGAAAGCTCAGGCACACCTGTTCCTCGTCGCCCTCAAACATTTTCAGACTCATTTCTGTTCAGGATTGTCTTGTTCTAAGACGAACCTTACTCTTTCGCCAATGCACCGACTGGCTCGTGGTTCCCTTCTGTTGAACGGAAGTCTGTAAAAATAAATGCAGATATCTATATCAACAATTTGAGATTTCAGAATAGTGTAAAATTATATGCTGCAGTTGTAATTCTTCTATGCTTGTTTTTATTTTTGCTGCATGTTATTGTAGTTGTTATTGTTTTTGTTTCGTTATTGTTGCTTTTGCTTTAGTTTTTCACTGTTGTTGCTTCTGTGTTGTTGACGTTGTTCGAAATGATGATGACAACGATATGTAATATAATATGGTGTTGCTGTCATCTATTTTGCTGCTGTTGTCATAAGTAATGATATAATAAGTACTTTTCTCTTTTAAACATAAAAATGGTGGATGTCTATGGTGACCTTGTGCGAAGTGCGTATTTCTAAAATTGTCACCCACATAGAACCTTCTCTTTCTTTTTTCATCTCTTTGCAAATCTCTCTGTCTCTCTCTCTCTCTCTCTCTCTCTCTCTCTCTCTCTCTCTTTCTCTGTCTCTCATTTACGAATACACACACAAACACATACATATATATCTCTCATGATTATATTATATATATATATATATATATACGTATACTGAATCTAGAGAGGTGAGCAGAGTAAGCCTGATTCCATGTGAGGACTTCTCTGTTGACATCCACCCCTTGGCGCTCACATGACCTTATGGAGTTGCGAGCGCCGTACAACCTCTACTAAAACAAAACAACAACAACATATACATATACAATTTATATATAAACAGATATTTTTAAAATATATAAATACCTATATAAATATAACTAAATTTAAAAAACCCCGTATATATATGTACATGTAAACACACACACACACACACACACACACACACACACACACACACACACACACACACACACACACACACACACACACACACACACACACACACATTCTCCCTGACCCCCCCCCCCCCCTCAACCCCTTCTCTCTTTTCTATTGCAAGAAAGAAACAGAACATTATATATCAATACTTGTTAGATACTCATCATTCATATTTAAAAAAAGAATTATAATTTAGAGAAACTGAAGACGCGATCATGAATTGAAAGCCTGAAAGTTGAAAGACAACGTGGACTAGTCATCTGTACACACAATTAAAGGATACGTTTCACTAGAGATTGTTTAAAATAGACACATATTTTCTACTCGCCAGGGTGCTATTGACTTGGACGAGTATATAGGGTAAATACTTTTTAATACTCACCGACAGGACTTGCGTTTTATGAACTTGGAAAAAAGTTGTACTTGTTTGTCGAACTGTCTTGAATGACCAGGGTAATGCTGGAGGATCGTCCGAGCTGCTTTCTCTTGCCTTGTCGTCAATTTTCATCGAAGAACTTCTGATTCTGATGGTGCCGGTGGCTCATATTTATACAGGCTTGCTGAGAACCCGTGGGCTAAACTTAGTAAGTCGATATTATTAGCAATGCTGTCATTCGACCTTCGCTGGAGCGGCTTGAAGGTGGACACTCAACTGACCGGTGTCGCTAAAAGTATGGAACACAAGCGTGTCACTGTATACAAATTTGCAAGCTGGTCAAGCAACGAAAGAAAAATTAATTGTTAAACAAATTGTAGTGGGTTGATAAGTGATGTTATCTGCATTTTTAATGTGTTTTTTTAAAACCAGGAAATGCTCATGCGCCATAACAATTTTGCACATTGGAATAACTTGACTATTTTTTATGGAAACATTTCCTTTCCTTTCATTTAATTATCCTCCCTGTCTTTCTTGAGGGATACTGTTTACAATTGGACGAATATGTTGGCTCAGACAATCAGGACCGAAACAGTTTGCCTCCTAAAAGATAAACATAGCTTTAAAGGTGGGCAATAAATTAGATCTAGACATATTCTACTTTGAACACAATTTTGAGAAAACAAATAGTCATAAACTGTATGAAATCACATTCCAGAACCATTGTTAACCTGTAAACCAGGAAGCAACTGATACAGCTAGAGTACAAGAAATAAGGCCTACAATGTGTTTAATATTTTGGAACTGCAAGACGCATTAAGCTGCTATGTCTAGAGCAGCGAAAAGGCCAAACATGACAAACATTGGAAACTCATCTATCTCATCAGGCCACACAACTGTATCTAGTTATTTTACCACCCAGGTGCCTGTACTGTCCACCCCATTCTCAAATAACTTTGAAACATAGCTAGTTCTCTCAGTACTTACTATAATTCTTATGTTTACACCACACGTTTGAACCTGTTCTTTGTATGCTATTCATCCTTTATGATCAAACCGTTTACCATACAAAGACCAGGGGGTCACGACCCGGCTTAGAGAGTTTGCAGGTTTGTGCGTGTGTGTGTGTTTGTGTGTGTGTGGAGGGAGGGGAGAGGGGGAGGTCTTTCTATTTTTACACTTCAAATGATATCTACCTATTATCTATGCACCTAAGGTTTTGTCAATAGTTTTAATAGTTTCACAGTTTCAAAATATTCTGACCGGATCATTAACC